TTTTAGTAGAGACGGGGTTTCACCATGTTGACCAGGATGGTCTCGATCTCTTGACCTCGTGATCCACCCGCCTCGGCCTCCCAAAGTGCTGGGATTACAGGCTTGAGCCACCACGCCCGGCCATATTTGATTTTTTTTTAATGTTTTATGGACTTATTTTAAAGCAGTTTTAGATACACAACCAAATTGAACAGGAGGTACAGAGATTTCTCATGATCCTCTGCCCCTCGGCGTGCATGGCCTCAGCACCGCTGACACCCTGCATCACAGCAGTAGATACAGGTGTTTCCATTTGTGGACCTACATCGACACATCATTCAATGGTCTATGTGTATTCAAATTTTTTAAAATATATTATAAATTAGCAGCTATCTCAGATGTTTGGAATTTTTTTTTTTGGCTTTCAATTTTGCAATTTGTTGTATTTAGTAGTGCATTACATTTTTTTTAAAAGATTCAGGCACACATGACTTAGCTTGTTGAATAAATGCTATAAGTTATTTTCAGCTTTTATTATTACCATATTTTTTTAATGTAAGGTTACCATTGTCTTTTTTGTACAAAGTAAATTTATATACAGTGTTGCCACTGTCAGTTCTTCTGTGTGTTAGTGTCAGATTGTAGCGTTCTATAACATATCACACAAATCTATGTATTTGAAATATCCTTGGTTACAAGAAGTGGTTGTTACTGTGTTTTCTTTTTTTTTTCTTTTGCCTATATCAGGAATATCAATGTAAAGCAGATAGTCTATTGTGAATATTTCTTTACATTCTTTATGTACACCAGTATTTGAAGCTTAAAAGAGAATCTCTTTTGTAGTGTCCACATAGACCATGGCCAGACAGACAATGGGGATTATGCATCTTTGATGATGTCATAGAACACTGTAGTCCAGCCTCATTTAAATATGCAGAATATTTCTTAAGACCAATGCTCCAATATGTATGTGATAACAGCCCAGAAGTCAGGCAAGCAGCTGCATATGGCCTGGGAGTCATGGCACAGTATGGTGGAGATAATTATCGCCCTTTTTGTACAGGTACCTTCGTTTATTCAGTTACATGCATTTCATTCCAGACATCCTGTTTATCCCTGACTTACTCTGTTTACCACACTCCCAAACATTATTTGCCTATTTCTGCTGTAGTCTGTTTTCAAACATCTCATCTGTAGCATTTAGGATTTTAGCTGATAAAGAGATGATTAATTCTCATAGAATCAAACACTTCACCACCCCAGCCTCCCAGGGTACATTTCTCTTTGGGTTTTGGTGATATACCACAGCCTCAGCATAAGACTTTTAAAACTTATTGGGGAATATAGTTAGGCAGCTTTCAAAGCCCTCGGGTGCCCTCGGGTGATGTGGTGAGTACTGTTAATCTGGAGGCTACTCATCTCTCTGGGTCTCTAAGTTAGTGGAGTTCTAGTGCTTCTGTCTATGCTGGGGCAGCCTCCCCTTTGTTGGCATTCTGTAATGATGTAGCCAAGAAGACAACACTTCCATTACACTTTTAATATTTCTTCACCATAACATCTGGACGAAATACAAAAATATGTATGTTCATTTGCATGAAAATGTGAGGTTTTAGCTGAACTTTTTCTAATGCTTGTTTTAGAAGCACTTCCCCTGCTGGTAAGAGTTATTCAGTCTGCTGATTCTAAGACCAAAGAAAATGTCAATGCTACCGAGAACTGCATCTCAGCAGTAGGGAAAATCATGAAGTTCAAGCCTGACTGTGTAAACGTTGAAGAGGTGCTGCCACACTGGTTGTCTTGGCTTCCACTACATGAAGATAAAGAAGAAGCTGTTCAGACTTTCAATTATCTGTGTGACCTGATTGAAAGGTAAGAAAGCAGATTGTGACCTTATTTCCTTCTCCTCCATAGCGCTTCCTGGTTTTTCTTGCCTAACATCAGTCTTTCAAAGTTGAACCACATGATCTCTGAACAGTCCTCAGTTGTATAGATTTTATAATAGTGCTGTCTTTATACATCGTATTAAGAAACCATATCACAGTTAACATTACCCTTATAAGATGGTCTAATTTTGAGTTATTCTTTGTGCATTTAGATTCAACAGATGAGATACTTTAATCATTTATTTACTTTTAAATTTCTTTTCGTAGTGGCAAGGTCTTACCTGTTTTACTCAGACGGTTGTCAAACTTGGCCTCAAGAGATCCTCCCACCTTGGCCTCCCAAAGTGCTGGGATTACAGGCATGAGCCCCCACACCTGGCCTAATGGCATGTTGTTTACTGTCTGTTTTCTAAGTCCAAGTTCCCCCTAAATATCAGTCAGATCTAGGCTCTGTTGCTATTAATTACTATTTTTAGTTTATGAATAAATTCAAGGGCTACAACCACTGGAGTTTGTAGCAGTAGTCTGACAGGCATATTCTTCGTGCCCATTTAAGCTCATGTAAAAAATGTGTTTGAGTCGTCCCACTGAGCATATCATTAAGGAGTGTAACCATCCTGCAGACTACACACATCTTACCTGCTCCTGCATCTGAAATGACCAGGTTTTAATCATGCTATTTGATCATCTCCCTTGGAAACAACTACTCTGAAATTATCTTATTGACAAACACTAGAATTCTTAAATTCACTGTTAGATTTTTTCCCATTAAACTTGCCTGAGTTTATTTCCCAGCTTATTCTTGAAATGTTTATATAATCCTTTTGAACTTCAGATTTTAGAAACATTTTGTAGTAGCAAAATTTGTGTTAAACTGTTATTCTTAGTAATACAATACCTTTTTTTAATACATCACATATTATTTATATGGTATTTAGAACATTCTGTTGTTTGGAACTTAAAACAATCCTAAGAGATGAGCCCAGTATTTTTTTTTTTTTTTTTTTT